GCGTGATTTTGTAATCTGAGATTTTTGTTGACCCTGAAGAAACAAGGTTTGGCGAGTAAACATTACAGATTGCGTAATTCAAAGTTGGCTGAGTGGAGATCTGCGTCTCGTCTCCGACAAAAAAAATATAAAAAAAAATAAACCAAGGGTAGAACATGAACCGCGCTCGGCCCATGGCCGCGCGGTTAATTAACACTTGACATGTGTAATATGGGTAAAGCAATAAGCTTGTAGACTTATTATGCTTCGGATATTAGACATTTTGATTTCAATAATGTATTTTTTTCAATGATAATGTGAACTCCTGGTGTTTGGACATGTATGTTTTATTCATTACATCAAAGTCAGCAAGTGGAAATCTGCAGATTGCTTTTACACTCATGAAAAGTGGAGGATAGGAATTCAATTCAAGTTGTGTCTCGCCTATTCTACCAACAGTCATGTCCAAATTTAATGTGACAGTCTCGGTTAAACATGTGGAGGTGCAGTGGCGCAACAGTTTGTGTGCTGGGCTCGTTTCAGGAAGGTCCTGAAACGTTTTTGCACCCGGAAAGCAGTAGCAAAATCTCAAACCTTATGATTACGGAGCTGTTTTATTCATGTTAATATGGACAGAGGTTCTCTTCATACGAGTCTCAGGTGTATACACCTCTCTGTTTTTAGATACAGATTATCTAAAAATGGCTTTGCAGGCCTGAAAAGTTTCTGGGGCTTTCAAGAAACAGGCCACACGAGTCTGGATGGAGTGGTCCAGGTTCAAGTCCTGGCTGGGGTCGTGTTGTGTTCTTGGGCAGGACACTTAACACAAAGAGTGCCTCTCTCCACCATTGTCAAATTTAATGCATGGGGTAACTCTGTGATGAACTAGTATCCCATCCAAGGGAGAGTTGCTTGCTCCTAGTTTCTTCATGCTACAGAAAACAGGATAAACTCTGGTTCTGTGCCACTGGTCTGGGGCAGACTTTATTTTATCACTAAATATCCCCAAGAGTTTGTACAATATCAACCTTTCCTATGGATCAATGTGCTCATTCTTAATCAATTTGTCTTTTAATTTTCAGGAGGCAGAAGTTGCCGAACTGTCACAAGGAAAGTGGGAAACATGGTTACAACATTTACAGATTGTTCCTAGGGGTATTGTTCAGTATTTAGTAATGATTAGGGTTGCCTCAGGGTTAAATTAACAGAGGCATTATAGGTTTATCATGATCAAATTGGATTGGCTAGTGTTATTGCTAGTTGAGATAGCTCATATGAGTGCTGTTCAAATACAATAGACAACTTTAAATGAAATGTTTGTAAGTTCGTTGCTATTCTGATTAATTTAAAATTACTGTCACCTTAAAATTCATCTATAGTACAGACATAACTGAATTTGATGGACTAAGACACATTATTAGATTAAGTGTTATGGTATATGAAACTCCAGTCACAATACCCTGTTTTTGAGTTCTCTTCTGCTTTTGTGTGAAAGTGAAATGTTCATGCAAATCAAACTCATTTTCATGTGGTAGAAAAAGTTTGCAAAAGAACTAGTTTGGAAACCGAGGAAAAAGGCAACTTGGCAATGGCCTACTATATGAAAACAGAAATTTGTCACCAGAGATAAGTCATTCACTCATTGAAGAAGTGGGGCTGGAATGTTTCTGACTTCATACAAAAGATAAAGCTGAGTTAAGAACAGGAAATTATAGTAACTACAAAGGACTACTTCTGCTTCAATCTACCAGGAAGACTTGAATTTGTCATGTAAATCTCTCTTTTGATGCAGTTTTTAACAGCTAGTCAAAATTCCGTTAAGTCCAAGCCTGCAGACTATTTCTGAGAACTGAAAACTGTTGCAATTGTACAAGTAATTTAACTATTTTACTTTGATGAGGGTGGCTTGTTGGATTGGTGTTAAGGGAACTGCTGGCAGTTACAAGCAAATTTCCTTTGCTCTAGGACTGAAGGATTAGATTTATTTTTGTAAGGAAAAAATGTGCACACTTGTATGTACTGACTCTCAACTAACCTTAGCACTCAATGAGGGGTAATCTTAAATTATTATATTTGAGAGATTAAGCATCTGGTTTGTTTTGTTTCATGAATGGGAAAAATATATCCTGCTTTTGCCATCTGTTATTGATAGTTGAAAGTTAGTAATTTCAGGTTTGTTTTTAATTCCTCTTTCAATATCATCATTAGCGGCAAAAGTAACCAGAATCTGTAGCAAGTAAAGCGTGATGCTTGACCTCCCAGTTATTAGTAATTAGTGTTTATGCACAATAGAGCATTGTATTTACCATGTAATTGTAAAGTACTATTGAACTAGTTTGTACATACTTGTACATGGAATAAACGTTTTTCTTACACTCTTGTTTTAATTAGATTTGTACAATGAACATGAAATCCTACACCATTACTTTCAGGTACATGTAACTTGGGATTATCGTGACATAAAAATGTCCAGAAATACACAAAATGCCCTGTCATATATTTCGAACATATTTTTCAATTCAAGAACTTCTTTCTTCCATCATTGAGATGATGCACATTATACATCTCAAGCAAGTAATATGTTATATTTCCTAGTAAGAAAATTGCCCAAAGAAACTAAGCACTTTGATTGGTTTAAAATTGTTACTCTATTTAACAATTAGATTACCAGTATGAACTTGAGATTTCTATCACACCATAGTAGTCAACTATCACGCATAGAAATCAAGGGAGAATAATCTAATTGTTTTAGTATAAATCTACTAGTCGTTCAAAACTTTATCTAAATCCTCTTCACAGACACTTCAAAAACGCACAAAAACAGCCTTTAATTTGTTAACAAGCGCTTGCTTCTATGCTAGTGACTATACGTGAGTAACGTAGCTAATCAGAGAATGCCATTTGTGATGGAATCTTAATAGATTTATACTAAAACTTGATAGAAACAGAACTAGCATGAGCTGTTGATGTAACTATGGCGCAAGAAAGGGAATTTGTTTTCTTTTTTGTCACAGACTTTTCTGAAAGAAATAGAAAACATGTTCTCTGTGTTTCTATCAAGTTATAGATTGAAACACTCAAGGAAGTTTGGCCTGTCAGCTTTTCCCACAGCATTTCTCATTCTGCCAAACTTCAACTCGTGTTTTTATAACTTGACAGAAACACAGAACATGTTTTCTATTTCTTAATTTTTAACATTTGCATCTTATGTTTTGATGTTTGGTTTTGTCCCAAGTAAAATGACCAGCAAAATTTAAAAATATCCTTGGAATTACTTTGACGGATACAGCTTAGGTAAGTTCCTCCCAGCAAACAAGGAAGCTTTGTGTGAAAAGTTATGAAGGGTAACAACTGCATCATCATTACCTATCTTTGGTGTCATAACAGAAGATATTTCACCATATGTCAATGTATCGAATTTGTTTAAATATGCTCCAGTTGTTGAAATGGAAACCATACCCAAGTTTTAACCAGAAGGGAAATCCACACCCAGTTTCAGACCTAAATGGCACCATCTATGACCCATTTTCATACTGAAACAGCTTATCAACTCTACCACTTGGTACAAGACACATAGCTAGTGGAAGGGAGTACCTCCTGGAGTCAGTCACTTGTCACAGCTTCAACAGTTCACCTGATCGATGACATGAAATTCCATAAACCCCTTAAGAGCTAAAAACTACTTTACTGTGCACCATTCTACAAACCATATAGAATGTGACAGTTGTTCAAGTATGGAAGCAGTTATGGTTGGTTGTGATGGGGTTCTGACATACTGCACAGACTTGGGCATTTTCTAAGCCCAAAAATACAGCCCAAAACATCACAAAATGAGAGAAGTTATGCAAAGTTATAACCTGCAAATACAGCTGCATCACATTGTGCACTGAGGCAGCTGAATTGACTACACAGATTGTTAGTTCCAATGGTTTTAACACCACGTGGGCCCATCATCTTTTAGAACAGAAATAACCTGTATTGAAACCCAGGGAAGGCAAACAGATGCTTGATCACAGGTTAGACCAGAACTTAAAGTAACAGTTTTGGGAAGTCAAAACTGTGAAATGAAGGTACTTTAACAATAAAAACAACAAAAATTTACAGCACCCCAAGTATTTATTGAAGTCTATAAAACCATGGATCCAGCGAAATATGTTATGTACAACATTTTTATAGCCTCCTCTACTTGCAAGAGCCACAGCAAGGACGGGTTTAAACATAAGCTTTTTGACTGAGAGCTTGTGGGAAACTTTGCATTCGGCCATGTGGTCTTGCATTGATTAACACTCAACAGCTCTAGGCTGTTTGTTGTTAACTTGGCAATGATCTTTTGCTTGCTTCATCCAGCTCTTCCAAGTTAGGTAACCAGAATGCCTACAATAAATTATCAGTCACAACATCACTACATGTCTGAGCAAAAACATACTTTAAAAGAGTGGATTTTCACACAAATGCACTGCATTTTTCATCAGGGTTCACTGAAGAATGACCAAATGAACAGGAATTCTGTTTTATGTGCACTGAATGGCTGTTTTATTGAGTTTACATATAAAAACAAAATACTCTTTTTATAAACTGCAGCATTTGGCCAAACATTGTACTGTAAGTCTGCACTTGACTCAAAATGACAAAAACCACCAAATCACATCCTGGTCTTAACAACTCACCCTATTGGGGATACTAGTCTATTGCAGACCACCCCCTCCCCCCCTGCATTTTACAAAGTTGCCATAACAGTTTACTGCCACCATCTATATGTTATAGTTCCTTTGCAGCTGTTATTTGGGTTGTTATACACCTGCCCAATGGCTGTATAAATGCAAAACGTATTCTTTTCCACATTTTTGGACACCATGGTTTCAATACTATAGCCTTGAGCCAGTCATGCAGAGCATCACTGAGTACTCACTACACCAATCAAAAGTGGTGATGTATCACGACCCTAGCACCTACAATGTCAAATGGGTCTTATTATTTGATGTAGTCACCAGTCCAGGCATTGAAATAGAAAGTTTTACTCAAATAAAACATGCTTGAATATGAAAATCAATTTTGCAAACAAAATCTATGTACATAAGGCATCCAAGTTTATTGAAGCAATCTAGCAACATTTTGCCAAACAGTTGATGTAACTATTTTGGTGACAAGTGCCGAAGGTGCTGCAGACAAAACGAAAGGCAAGGAACATGGTTTGAGTTTAAGCAGTCATTGGTGGGGAGATGCCTTGCATGATGATTTTTTATTTTTATTTTTATGACCAAAATAACAGCTGCAAAGTCCGGGGCTAATACCGTAAAATCCCAAGTTAAAGCCCTGGGCTTATATGACTTTATAACAGGTTTTGGGTGGGCTTATAAACAGGGAACTTATATCCAGGGGGCATATAAGCGGAATAAAAAAATGTTTCAGAACAGTGAGATAAAATGTATCTGAGAAACAAATTTAATCTAACATTGATCGTTACACTTCAAGCTATTACCCTATTATAACCCTATTACCCTGTGACTTTCGATTAAAAATTTTGATGTTTGCAAAGAAACGCAAAATGAATGGGCTTATAACCATGGGGGGCTTTAATGCAGGATTTTATGGCATTATCAATATGTCAATGAACTACTTTCCACTGATTTTTCTTTTTCCTTGTCTGAAACAAAGGAAAATGAAAGTTAACTTCAACTTACCATATTAGTACAAGCACTAGCTAACATCATGTACTTAGGATTAAACCCAACACACTGAATAGGTCCAGGGTGATTTCCCTCTAGCACAGTCAGCTTCTGACCACTGTCTGAACCCCACACATGGACACGCCCATCTTGAGAGCCTGTTGAAAAAAGGTTTGTATTTTCAGTATCTGGAACTTAAAATTTTACCCTTCCAAAATGACTGTTAATTTCTTTTACTAACTGCCATGCACTAGGTAAATGATTTGTTTTAAAATGAAAAGTAATTAATTGTATGAAGAAACAAACCCAAAAACTCTAAAGTTTGCAGCAGAAATGTAGAGAAGAGATCATATTCCTAAAGGGCTGTATAAAGAACGGAAGGGGTTTTTTCTAAGACCCTCCACCCCACTGGAAATTTCAATTAAGCTTCATACATTTCTCTAAATTTTTTGGTCTTACAGAAACCCCCCCCACCCCTCAGGAATTCCAATCCTTTCTGTGGGGGAAGTATGAATATTTTCTGGAACTGCTGAATGTACAATTTGGAAAATTGCAGTATGCAGTCAAATATGTACCTGAGATGACATACTGAGCATCAGGAGAGAAACAAACTTCAACTGGAGTTGATCTTGTCACAGAATGACCCTACCAAATGTAAAAATAGATATTTAACAGACACACTTGATACAGGTATCAGGAAGTAATCAAAGTGGCTGCAAGCCACTGAACTTGGAAAATAAATTATGAAAGGGTGTTATGAGGCATTGCTCATTAAGGAACTACTTGTGATTTGAGGGCAGTCTAGCTTTTGAACAAGCCCATAAAGCCTTTTCCATTCAGGGGTGTGTTGTGATAATTGCAAAATGAAAAAGTTCAACGTCAAAAAAATTGTTTGTTACTCAGACCTGCCTACATGTTTTACATTGCATGTATCTGTACATGTCTTCACAGTGCTGTAGTCAAAAATAGCAAGATCATTTTGTTTGGTCAAAAGTGAGGTATAGACTGAATGAAACACTTAAGCCTGCGGTATGTAAATAAATAATCAATATTTTAGCCTTTCGGTAACTGATGCACAGTTAGCGCAGTGTGATAAGTGCTGGCTCGCCATGCGGGACATTGAGAGTTCAAATCCTAGTGGTGACTACATTATTTTCCCTTTTCTTCATTGTTTTTCTTTTTCTGTCAAGAAACCAGTTACCGAAAGGTAGTGTTTGTGTTTGTGTTTCTTGTGTTAAAAAAATCATCTCGAGCCTTTAATTATTTGTTTATATCAATTGCTTTTGAACTCAAAATATCACGTAGGTTTATTTGAGAAGGAAAAACCACAAACACTTTCCCTGAATCAAATCACTAAGGAAGAATCATAAGTATTTTCCTTACAATGAAAAAATCATTATACCTTCTACCTCTCAAAAATAACTAACTTGACACACTGCAAGCTACTGTAAAACGGCCTTAGACAGCTGATGTTCAAAACCCGGGGGGACTCCTATATGAAAAGGTGGGGGATGCTTGTCGTGTCAGGTAAAAATCAAGGATTCTGGTCTTACGTAGGGTGTTGATGACGAAATGTCACCATTTTTAGCTATCAAAGTCTCCTTTGGGTGCACTTGAGGAAATAGTAACAAAAGAAACATTTTCAGGCTTGATTTCTGCTGATCTCTTGAGTAGATGAGTCGGGTCTACAAGTGTGCATGGGATCCTTTCTTGAACAGTGGCTAGTGATCGAACCTCTTCCATTTTAAGTGGTCTCTTTTAGGGGTCTAATGAAGCTTGAGCAACATCCCCATTAATCTCCCTTAGGAGTTAAATTCACATTTTCCGATGAGTATCCCTTGCCTTTTCATGTGAGAGTCCCCCCAGGTTTCCAAATGTCTAACGGGAAGTGAAGGAGTGAAGGAGCGAAGGAGCGAAGGAGCGAAGGAGTGATGGAGTGAAGGAGTGATGGAGTGAAATAGTTCCACCACTAACATTTGGAAAATAATATTTTCCAAGTTTAAAATTACTGTAGTTACATCACCAACTACCAGTTGGCAGGGCTAAAGCTCTTAAACAGTTACAGTTAAAAAGAATTTGGCAAAGGTAAAGAATCTGATATCATTGACGCATCAACTGACATACTATGGACACACCAATGACACGCTACCAACACAGCGGCCGACCTACTACTGATGCATCGGCTGAAATACTTACCTTTTTTAACTCTTACTTTTTTACTTGACACAAAAGGATGACAAATGTGAAATCTAAATCGCCACCATTTTGAAAATGAAACACTAGTATGTTGGTTTTCTTTTTCTTGATGTTCAATTTACACTCTATCTGAGTAGAATTAGTTTACAGCTGCCTTTAGAGCTGCTTCTCACCTTCTCGAAGCATTTAGCAACTGATTAATTTCAGTCAGAGGTAGATTATTACCATTACTGGAACAAATGGGCCACTAGCAGTTGAAAGTCAAAGCTAACTTATTTAGACCATCCTTTGTGTTTTTGATAGTGAACCATTTTATTTTAATTCCTTCATCTTCATTTTACATTTTCAACCAACAGAAACAAGGCTTAGGGCTGATGCAAACTTTTGAAGTAGGCAAACTTTTCGAAGTATGCATGTATATGTATGTCTTAAATGCTGGAACAGATGGCTGGTTTTGCCATCTCCTTTGAAGAGTATGAATAACCTGCAGAGTAGCTGTCCAAGATCATGAAGTAGATGGTAACTTTGGTCAGCAGCCAGCTACCTTTAACAACCCTGTAAGCATAAATAATATCTCCCTCACTGCAACATTTGTACTCACTGTAAATGTATGAAGCTGTGTTCCCTGAAATGCATCAATCAAATGAATGACTCCTCCATTTGTAGCCAAGAGGATCATTTTACCATCTGAACTGAACTTCACACTTGTCCACTCAATGTTGGGATCATTTTGAATGTGGAATGTGGAAAATGGGCCCTGAAAAGAGTTGACATTTTCAGTATAGTGTAAGCCTTGAAATAATAGATTAAAACAAAAATATTATTAAGATTGTCAGCTGTACTTTACATTTCTTTTAATTTTAAAGTTGCTTCCACAAACTTGGTTTTGGAGTGTTTTCCCCAGCATATTCCGTAGTTCCTGAACAGAAGTGTGTGTGTGTTAAGAAAACACTCCAATGTACATTTTAAGGTTCAATTCTTGCTTCTGGTTTAAATTTTGTCGGCCCAGTTTTCAAAACGTACTAGGCCAACAAATGTAATCTTGAGGAAATTTACAGTGACTGGTTTTCATGGCCTAGTGGAGATGAAGGTGGAATACAGGGTCAGAGATTGGGTTTTCGAATCTAGGTGGAACAAAAATAGGCTTGTTGTAAAATAGGAGTACTACGATAAATGTTGGGAGGGGGGCTAAGGATAGGGTTAGGGACTGAGTAGGGGTGAGTGGTGTGAAGGAGAATTATTATTTATTATATGAAGTAGAAGGGTAAAAATCAAGAATTCTTGACTTCTTATTGTTTGTGATTCTTTTAAACCACCCTCCCAAGAAAGAAAGTAAAGAAAAGGACTATTAATTTTTGAAAAATTTTTAGAAGAGGTAAAAATCGAACCACAACATATACAAACACAAACCCATCTATGTTTTTCCACAGAGATGGAAGAAGAGTTAAGGTTATGACCAAGAATGTGTCATCGACTACGGACATCAATTGTAAAACCAAGTTTACCATCCTTCAATTTCAAACAATACATAAACCATAATTTATATCACATAGTGTACTAGTACTGACATATGTACTAAATAAGTGATTACCTTATCAAATGACCTCAAATCATATAGTTTCACCATTTCAGAGTCCACACCAGCAGCAAATATGAGACCCTCAGGATCAAAAGCCGCAACAGGTCTCCCATTCACGTGCATCAATCCCTTGATAAAAAAAGCGAAAGTAAATCAGCATAATATATCTCTTGGTGATTAAAGACAGACACATGGCTCCAAACATGTAGTAACCATCTCTAATGCATGGTATGATTTAACAAATGACTACATAAATGTACAGCCATAGGGGACAATGTTGATTGCAAAACAAATCTGACCAATGCACAGCCTTAATGACTAACAAAAATAGGATTCAAAAACTGAGAGAACCCAAGGAAATCACACTACGATCAACCTCACTAAGGCCACAACTATTCTTTACCCGAGTTTGAACAGGAACCTCATTTGCATCAAGGCTTTTCATAAGAAAGTCTCAGGTATTATCCTATAGCCACGTATAAATAGTGTCCACATGTAGTTCTATATCTTTGTTCAGCAATTAAGTCTGTACCTGACAGTTTGGGGATCTCAAGTCCCATAACCTTAGAGTCCTGTCCAATGATCCTGATACAAAAGTATCATCCATAGGTGACATGTGAAGAGTCATCACTCTACAAAAAATGCAAAGCTCAGGTAAGCAAGTGCCTATTGAAAGTATCTTGAAATTATAACACAATATATGCACTTGGGCAAGACACTTTACTCTCACAGTGCCTCTCTCCACCCAGGTGTATAAATGGGTACCGGCGAACTTAATGCTGGGGGTAACCCTGCGATGGACTAGCATCCCATCCAGGGGGGAGTAGAAATACTCCTAGTCGCTTCAAGCTACAGAAACTGGGATAAGCTCCGGCCTGATGGGCCACGTGGCTTGCATGCAGACTTTACCTATATGCACTATATGGTTAACTTTACAACAATCACTCACTCATCTTCATCATCCTAATTCCACTCAAAGTTCGAGCAATAAGTACAAAAATTATCAACTAAAAATCTACTGATGTGAAGTATATATGAAATAATTCATATTTGAACTGCGGTTGTAGATGAAAGTTAAGAATGATCATCGCAGTAAATTTTCCAATGTAAGCAACTGGAAAGAAGAAGCCTGCAAAAAATCAGGGCTTCAATGGAATCCTGTTGCAGCCCTGATTTTTTTCAGGCTTCTTCTTTCGATGCGATGATCATTCTTCACTTTCTTTTAAAAATCTACTCATAGCACAGTAACTTTTGGAATACTATTTAAAACAACTCACTTTAGTTCATTTTTTGAACTGACCCCGCAATTAGATTCTCAAGCATTCGCGAGAAAGTTAATGTCAAACCTCGTAAGAATGCTTAAAGCGTGTGTTATTATGTTTTTAACTATTGTGAAACGTCTGTTTTAATTGAAGTACGGATAACTTCAAGTTCAGTTTTCTCTCGCAGGGATGGCTTGAGAGCTTAAGCTCTTCTTAACTGCTTTCAAAGTATTACCATGCCATGAGGTTTTTTTGATAACTTAATTTTTGCCATTATTGCTGGAATGTTCCACAGAAATCATCTTTAGTGTTCCTGATTTTCCAGACTTCTGAATACCAACAAGTCTGGAGACTTCAATGTATATATTACAAGGAAAAAAAATCTAAATTCAGAACCTCACCTCTTTGTGTGACCAGTAAAATATCTGAGATACTTGTTGTCATGGAGAGAGAGATAACGAATGGTGTCTATTGCAAAGAGAGGAAAGTTTGCACTAATTAGAAAAAAAATGCTTTGTATGATCTTAAAGGGGTTCTTTCCAAAATGAGCACAAAATAATTCTAGATCAGAGCCAAATTTAAAAGCACAACATATCCTCCTGTCTAGAATCTACAGAATTGTCCAGGAATTTGTGGGATCTTTTAGGATCTTACAAATGTAAATTTTATAGGAAAAAGATCGTATTAATAAGGATCCTAAACTATGTCTTGTATCTTGTCTAACATTTTATTGCTGGTAGGTTCCATAAGGATCCTAAAGGATTCTATGATTTGCTTTCATGAAATATCCACAAAAGAAACAACAATGGTGACTTAAATTTGTTGCAAGGTGAGTGGATGGGGAGAAGGGGGAAAATCAAACCTTCTGTGGGAAGGGCATGGATATTTTCTAGGAGGATATATTAAATTAATATACAACAGGGTTGTACAGGATCAGTGTATGTCATTCACAGCATGGAGACTACTTTTACACCTAAATGGTGCTCCCATTAGCCTGAATATGACTTAGGTTAGCCTGAATAGCTCCCAAGTTAGCCTGTTTATGGTTGCTCTTTTTCTAACAAACATGCTTTCCCTGGGTCCCACCATGTGAAACAAAATCTGCATCTTTTGTTGTAAAAGTTTCAACTCACTTTAAAATTTCATTGTTCCTATACATCTACAAGATTTTCTGCAGGGTCTTCAGAAAGCCATTTCTGCGGGGGCTGCTCTGTTAATATTGTTTGATCTTCTGACAAAACGCGAGGGAATTTGGAAGAAAAATAGCTTTTCTTGGAGGTGAGGGGAAACAAAAAATTGCATTGGTCTGGAGGGGGCTTGGACATCAGAGGGTAAAGTTTGACTTTCTGCAGGGAGGGGGGTAAAGTTTGACTTTCTGCAAGGAGCAGGGTATAAAGTGGAATGGCCTGCAGCAGTCACTCTCCTCCATGGCTAGATTGCTCCAAGCTGCTCTAGGTCAGTTTGCTCCAACATGCATATACTGGTAGATTATTCCTTGCTCTTTCATCCACTGTCAAGCGAAGCTCGGTTACTTGTGTGGAGAGATCTAACTATTAGTTGGAGTGAACTGACTTGGAGTGATATAACCATGGAGCGAAATCAACTTTAAACCCCTGCAGCTTACAAACATCCTCCAATCTTAGACTATGATTATGTCCTATTGCATTGTTATTGACATTACCTATAGCTCCTGCGAGCAAGCTGATGTTAAGCATTTCTGCTAAATCTTTATGGCTTACCATCAATCTTTGTCGATGTATGAATCACTGTGTTTGTTGCATGTGTATACTGGATTTGAGCGACGCCATATTTCTTGCTGTAAAGGGTTCTTTTTGGTCTGTGAAATTGACAAAAGAGTTCAAAAACAAGATCAGCATTAACTTTTTGGAGGACTCGAATTTCTCTTTTGTTCAATCAAGGAACTTCCGGAAAAACTAAACAAGGAAGGTGTTTTTTCCTTCCATGTGAGCTATAACCTTTCAGAAAGGCTTAAATATAAGTTCACTTAAGTTATATAAGCTTAAGCTGAAGTTGTTGATCTTTTCTAGCTTACTTTCCTTCCTGGCAATCGTAAATTACAATTGAATCATCATCACTGCTCGTGATAAGAGTCTCTCCATTTGGTGAGAAGTCTATATGATTAATCCGATCACTGTTTTCTCGAAATACTTTCGCTACTCGAAAACTTCGAATGGTACTGTCGACAAGTTTCATTTCTGTCAGAAGATAAAGGCCGCCATTTGCAATGTGGTACAGCTCTAGGGTCTTTTCATGGTGATTACATGACGTCTATAACAACTGGTTCCACGAGGTGTTCCACGTGATACAAATTTACTCAAGGGAGGCAACACAGCTGTGACAGGGTTGCATTCAGCTGGGTCGGTGTTGGCAGGGCTTGAATTTTGAAGCTTTTTACTCTGCTTTGGGAGGAAAATTGTGGCTGTAGAATCCCTTTCTATTGTAATTCTCCAAAAAGGTGAGTATTTATTTGTTTTCTTCTTTGACAAGGTGAACGCATAGCTTCGTTTTTTGTTGTTGATTTGAAATGCTCCGCATGCCATTACAGTCAACAAGCAGTTCAACAAGCCTCCGCATTTTCTTTGAACCTCATTCGTGTATTTTCTTTCTCTGTACCTAAAGTAAAGTTCCGTTCAACCTCGCTTACCAAAATATGATGTTTTAAGCTTGAGCATGGTTCGGCGTAAACATTATAGTGGAAGACACCTTCGGGACGCGAACTGGAGCAGGCCGCTTACGAGGGCTCTTGTAAGCGGTCACTAGAGTTGTAAGGTGTGTATGGCCGCCTATGGGAGTTTGCCCAGCTTACAATAACATTGAGAATGCAAAAGAATACCAACGTTGCAAGTGATTTTTTGGAGTAACCGCAGAATACCCTGCCACATCGACCGCGTTGCTGAAAAGGGGTGGCTCGAGTCATGAATCTTTTTTGCTAGCTACGCAATACGCGGTACCGTGGATAGTAGCCTGGTCCCAGGGGTTTTTCTTGATTTTTCTTCTTTTCGCGAAGCGGCGAACATGAGTCGCGAAGCGGCGAGAAAGAAAAACCTCTGGTTACCCTGGACTTGAAGACACTGTCAGAAACATGATCCATGTTGAACATAGGCGAATCTTGAACGTGTATAAACTGAGAACTGAAGTATTTTGCAGACAAATTCCTTCCCAACAGTAAGAGCATTCCTTTCAATCATGGGTCGCTTAACGAATGAACGAAAAGCAAAATTTGTCAGGCTTCGAGAACAAAATAGAAATATTAGTCAAATTGTGAAAATTCTTGGCGATGATGACTGCCAAATAAGTCGTCTCAGTGTGAGGTGCTTTCTGAAACGTTTCCAGGAAAGGCAGTCATTTGTGAATGCCCCTCTACCAGGTCGTCCAAATGAAAATGTCACGCCAGAAGTATTGAACTTTATTGATGCTGAAATGGAGAAGAATGACGAACTCAGTGCACTGAAGCTTGGCAAAAAGCCCCAATAACAGTTCGGTGTCGACTTCTCTGAGAGCAAGGTGAAGAGGCTGAGGCAGAAGCTCAGGTGGGTTCAGACTGGCATGAAATACTGCCAGCTGATAGGCGAGATGAACCGCACCAAATGACTAGAGTTCTGTCTGAAGTGTGTGGAAGACAACAAGCAGTTCAATGATGTCATCTTCACGGATGAATGTTCCATCCATATGGAAAAGCACGCCAAGCTATGCTTCCATCAAAGGTGGGAGCAGCCAAAGCTGAAAGGACAAGCCAAGCATCCTTTAATGTACACATCTGGGCCGGTATCTTGAAAAGAGGACCGACTAGAGTTCTAATCTTCTCTGGGAACATGGATGCGACGTTTTACGTCAACAAAGTCTTGGAAAAGACCCTTCTGCCCTTCATCGAGTCTCAATTTCCTGATGGTCATTGCTTCCAGCAAGACAATGACCCTAAGCACACAAGCTGTCTAGCACAAGACTTCATGGATCTGAGTGGAATCAACTGGTGGAAGACCCCCCCCCCCCTGAAAGCCCAGACCTGAACCCTATCGAGCTTATCTGGCATGAACTTAAACACTTCCCTCGTACCAACGTAAAGCCCACAACGAAGGATGAGCTTCTCGGCGGGATAATGCGATTTTGGCAAGAAAGAATGACGGCAGAGAAGTGCATGATGTACATCAACCATTTACAGAAGGTTGTGCCATTGGTAGTTCAGCGAGAAGGCCGTGCATCTGGGCATTCACAACAGCTCTTTTCAGAGCTAAAGTAGAGAAAATCCTCTCATCATCGACCATTACACCTCGGTCAACATTGCACGATGCAGGTAACAACGAAACGGCTCCTTCAGGAGCCACTGCTCCTAAAAAAGGTCGTGACCAACAATAAATGTATTATGTTCGATATCAGTGTATCAATTATCAGTTTTACTGAGTCTTAAAATCCCCATGGAAAACCCCTGTAGTTCATTTGTTTTCTGTTCTGGGTGGATAACATGGCCGCCGCTCATTGGCAACAGATTATCTTGTCTCTGAGTTTCATGATACATTCATAAAAATCATACTATATTTACATTCAAAACACCCAGAAAAATTTTATTTCAAAAAGTTGAAGTACCCGGCTCAAGAAAACACTGGCGCACATTGTTGACATTCGCAATTACGATCGCGTCCCTAGCAACACCTGATAAGTTTTCATTTAGAGTACCAAGAAGAAACCTGTAGCTGTAAACTGTGAATCGTTAAGTTGTTTATAAGTTGGAATAAAAGTTATGCGAGGTTTCATGATCAAAGTGTGTTGTTGCATGTTCACAAGTATGAATAAAAAGTTAGTCAAGGTTTCATGATCAAAGCGTGGTGTCGCATGTTTACCAGTATGAATAAAA